CTCAGCCCTATTTTGTATTTAGAGACAGGGTCTGGCTGAGTTGCTTAGCACCTCACTGTTGCTGAGGCTGGTTTTGAACTTGCCATCCTCCTGCCTCAGCCTCCTGAGCCACTGGGATTACAGGCATGCTCTACCATGCCTGGCTATGCTACACTTAATCACACCAAACCCAACTGAAATACCTCATTCCACAAACCCCAACCGAGACTTCATCTTGATTAAACTGATTACATCTGCAAAGACCTTATTTTCAAATAAAGTCACATAATGAGGTTCCAGGAAGGTATGGAATTGAGGGACACCAGTCAATTTATTCTACCTTGTATCAGCTTCCATCCCTTCTCTGCCTTGCTCTCCACTCCCATATTGGATCAGTTCCCAATTAAATTCCTTGCATTCTAATGCAGGGAGCTGAGTTTGCTACTAGCAGAGTCCACCTAAGACCCGGCCTCCCTGTGCTGAGCAGTGGGGTCCTCCTCTTGAGGCAGGGTGAGAACCCTAGCCCCTTCCTCTGAGGTGCTACAAGAGAAGACAGCTAAATCCTACAGAGACCAAGGTTTAGGGCCTCATGCAGCCCAGTGACCACTTCCTGACTCTTGGAAATGGAGTGCTTTGAATGAGCCCCCAAATTATCTTTCTTAGAAATGGATGGGCTATTGGAGCATCAATATGCCCTTTGGGGACAGGAATTATTTGGGGGGTAGATGATTTATTTCTTTTGAGTTTGGATACAGAAATGGAAAGCCATGCCCACTTTCTGGGATGCATGTAGCATTTATAGTGGGCAGAGCTTGAGGTTTTGGGGGATGGGGTGTAAAAGACTTGAGCTTCCTGGAGGGCAGGCCTGTCCCTGGCAGGAAGGAGGAAGGATTTTGCCCCTCTCCGAGATGCTGTGAGCCTGGATTATGGGTGGGAGAAACATGGCCAAGGCAGAACCTTCTGGAGGGAACAGGCTGGTCTGTAGTGGCTGCTAGACGGGGGAGGGCAGCGGTTAGTGGGAGATCAGTCGTTATGTGAAATGTACCTGTCCGCGTCACTGCTTCAGAGGAAATCTCTGCCTCTGTTTGGGCCTCACTGGGAGACACTTCCTTCTGGATCCAAGATTTCCTGAGCTCAGGAATAGCCCACTCCTTCCATGAGGTCATGTGACCTTCTGCTATGGTCTGTATCTGGAATGTCCCCTGTCCTGAGGCTGGGTCCCCAGAGCAGCAGTGTTCAGCGGTGGAGCTTTGGGGCGGTGGTTGGATCATGAGGCTCTGACCTCAGCAGTGGACTCGCAGTTGGGGTGGACTAATGGGAGGGGGCGGAAACTGAAAGGGATGGGACCGAGTTGAAGGAGTAGGTCCTGGGGGTGTGCTCTGTGGAAACTATAACCTTGTTCCTGCCCCTTGCTCCCTTCCCTCCTCTCTACTCCTCCTTCTCCTCCTCCCCCTCCCCTTTTCTCCTCCCCCTCCCCCCCCATCTCTCACTGGCTGCCTGGAGGTGACAGCTCTGCTCCACCACACCCTTCCTATCTTGACGCTCTTCCTCACCTCAAACCCAGAGCCCTGGAGCTTGCCGACCTTGGACTGGAACCTCTGAAACCATGGGCCCAAATAAATCTTTCCTCCTTTACATCGTTTTTCTCAGTTACTTTATCACAGTGACCAAAAAAAAACGGACTCACCTACCTCCACCTTGGTTCACACGACTGTCCTGACCCAACCCCGGTGGCTGAGGGAACTGGGGTGCTCATTGGCCTGCCCATGTCACAGGCTATAAAAGGTGGAGTCCACTTCCTGGTATCTCCTTGACTTTCCAGAAATTCAGAGCTCCAACAGCCCATTCCCAGGTTCCAGCTCTCCTCTGAGCTGAGTGTCACTGCTGTCCCTGACCCCAGGCGCAGCAGCCTCGTATGGTTCTGGTTGGTCAGAGAGGTCCGAGTCCATCCTGGGGCCGGCATAGGGCTTCCATTGGTGAAGAGGAGATAAGGCCCAAGGAGCAAGGACGGCAGAGAGGGGGGTGCCTTGGAGACCCTGGGGCAGCATGGGGTGTGGGCTCCCCCGCCGGCAGGGAGGGGCCTGTGAGCCCTCAGGGTTCAAGGGAAACCTACCTGACAGGCTTGAGGCCACTGAGGCTCCCGTGGAACCCCGGCTCTCTCTGCTGTGGCTACGATGCAGCCTTCCTGAGGACTGTGGAGCCTCGGCCGCAGGCACAGAGCCCAGAAACTCCAGGGGCAGCGGGCAGGGTGGGGCAGGCCCTGGGGCCAGCGAGGCTGGAGGCCTGGGATGGAATGCTCAGAATGTAGGTGGGGGCCAGCTGCCTCCCCAGGCCTGCCCTGACCCAGCGGCCTCCCTCCTGGGCCCCCCAGACTCCAAGCCCAGCCTCATCCAGCAACCCTGGAGTCAGGGAGGATCCTGGTCTCCGAGGAGGAGCCTGTGGCCTCTGCTGGGTGGCATCTCCTCTTAGCTCTCTCCCTCGTGAATGGATATAGGTAGGATCGGTGACCATGTGAGAGGTGAGGTGGGCAGGGGCAACCGGCGGCTGCAGGGGCCACCTGGCACCCTTAGGGACCATGGCTGCCTCCACCCAGGGAGAGGGGGAGATGCCAAGAAGGGTGGATGGGCCTGGACCCCACCACCCTGTGCCAGGTTCTGCCTGCACAGACCGCTTGCCCTGCCCACTGGGGGCAGGTATCAGAAAGGATCAGGCCGCGGGGTCATGATGCAGCCACCATAGTTGTCAGCTGGGCTCACGGCTCTCCCCGTTGTCCTCCTGTAGGACCTAGAGGGGACTCATCTGCAGAGACAGAGGTGAGCCCATCCTCCTCCCCAGATGCCCAGAGCCAGGCCAGGCTGCTCAGAGGGGCTTGGGTTCCAGGAGGCAGGAGAGGCCCCTGCTTAAGGCAGAGGCCCTGAGGACTCCACAGGTGGCTGGTGGGGGGCGGGTTGTATGAAGATCCGGGGCTTCAAAATGACCTGCTGCCTCCATGGGAGGGTGGGAGACGAGCACAGGTGGTGTCTAATCCACCTGGGTCCAAGTCCCCCTCTGCCTTGTCCTGGGAGAGTGGTGGCCTGCCTGGGTCTCAGTGTGCCTGTCTCTAGGGTGGAATCAGGCATCTGAGAGGGAGGTGTCGCTGGTGTCGACGGGACTCAGAAGTGAAGCAGGAGAGTGCTGGACCTCATGCACCCTCCATTGCCCCATCAGTAGATGAGGATTCCAGACCCAAAGGGTCCAGAGGCCATGCGACACAGTGGGGGGACCACGGGCCTTCCCAAGACTGTCTGCTCCTACTCTGTGCCAGGCTCTGCTGGAGGGGCTGCATCCAGGAGAAGCAGGCTAAACAAGAGAGTAAGGAGCCAAACAAAAAGTGGAGCCAGGCACAGTGGCCCAGGCCTGTAACCTCAGCTACTCGGGAGGCTGAGGCAGGAAGATTGCAAGTTCAAGGCCAGCCCAGGCAACTTAGTAAGACCCAGTCTCAAAAGGAAATAAAGTGCTGGGGGTGTAGCTTGTCCAGCATGCAGGAGGCCCTGAGTTCAGTTCCCAGTATTGAAAAAAGAAAAAAGTGGAGAGGCTGGAACAAAGGCTCTCTGGGGAGGCCCTCCAGGAAGGAGGACCTGCAGGCAGAGCCCCGGGCACAGAGCAGAGCAGGTGCAAGGTGGGCTCTGAAGGTGGGGCAGCTGGAGGAAACAAGGCTACAAGTGTGGCAAGGCCAGGGGTACAGGTGGCATTCAATTCCCCTTGTTCCAAGAATCCAAATGACATCCAAAGCACACTTGCTTCTCTCATGGGGCTGGCACTCAGAAGGTGTGGCAGCAGTGCCTGGCACATAAGCAACATGACATAACAGTGAGTGAGTGAGTGAATCCTGGCCAGCCCTTAACTCACTGTGTGACCCCAGGTGAGTGTACTCCCCTCCCTGGTCCTGTTTCACTACTGCCAAGACACCCTCTGAATCATGATTCTCTTCTCAGGCAGTATGTAGGGGGGACCTAGCTGCAGCAGGCCTTACTGTGGGCTGCTTTTTCTTTCCCGGGACGCTGCAGATGCAGCCAGCACCTGACTTGGCTTGGTGTGCCAGATGAGGCCGTCAGCCGTCTCTGCTACCTACAGCAGAAGCTGAGCTCCAACATCTCTGCTGTGGGCCTGTCCACTCCTTGGTTCTGTTTTTCTCTTTTTTTCTCCTGTGTTTGGACCTGGGGAAAACCTTTCTGCTCAAGAGTCCTGTCCTCTAAGCTCTGTCCCTGGACTGGCACCAGGAGCTGCCAACCTGAAGGCCGGGCAGGCAGCGGGCTGGGATGGGCACAGGGCACCATGGACCCTGTCCTGTTTCTGAGACCCCAGAAGCCACCTCTCCTAGCTCAACCTGGGGCCCTTCTTCCCAGGCCAGAGGTGGCCTCTTGTGCCTGTGAGGGAGGGGTTGGCCTTGGGGAGAAGGAGGAGGAAGGACAGGGAAGAGGCAGAGAGCCACCACCTGCCCATGGTG